ATGCTTTCAAATAATTAGACATGCTAAAACACAGAATTTGGTAACAATAAAACATAAGGTTGGAAAAAATAAAACATTTTTGGGCCCTAAACATGTAATTTTTGTTAAACTTTTAATAAATTGATGTTAAACTGTTTAAGTTTCATGGTTTTAATTAATTAGATATGCTTTTTGATTAATACAATTTAATTGAACCATTAAAAGGAGTCCAGAAAAATTAAAACTGAAAAAAAAAAAGACGTAAACTTAGGGGAAACACTGAAGGAGTACTTTTACTTTTACTGGAGTTATATTTTATTATACGTATCTGTACTTTTACTCAAGTACTTGATTTGTGTACTTCGTCCACCACTGGTTAAAGGATTAGTTCACTTCCAGAATAAAAATTTCCTAATAATTTACTCACCCCAATTGGCATCCAATGAAATTAAGAAAAGAAATTAAGGTTTTTGAGGAAAACATTCCAGGATTTTCTCCATATAATGGACTTTAATGGGGATCAACGGGCTGAAGGTCCAAATTGCAGTTTCAGTGCAGCTTCAAGGGGCTCTACAGGATCCCAGCCGAGGAATAAGGGTCTTATCTAGCGAAGCGACTGGTCATTTTCTAAAAAATAAAAATGTATATACTTTTAACCACAAATGCTCGTCTTGCACTAGCTCTGCAATGTGTGTCTACGACTTCACGCATGACTTAATCACGTTGGAAAGGTCATGCGCGGTTAGCTCTTCGTCTGTGTATCAGCAACAAATACAAAAATTTTCAAATTCTAGCGGGAGATATAAACAATATTATAGGAATACATTAAAGAGTGTACAAGCTTGCAAATTTCGAATAGCTTTTTGTTTCTTCAAAGGCAATATAGACTCAATATAATGCTTCACTTCATTTTTTAAATGCTAAAAAAACATGGATTTTTTTTCCTGAAAATTTACATCTATGAATATGAAATGTAGCCATTAAAATACAAAAATAAAATAAATAAAATTTAAAAAAGTGTGGGTCTGTTTATCTTTAGAGTTTACAATGAAATTTACATCTATGAATATGAAATGTAGCCATTAAAATACAAAAATAAAATAAATAAAATTTTAAAAAGTGTGGGTCTGTTTATCTTTAGAGTTTACAATAATGCCTAAAATAACATATTTCCACTGTAAAGTAACATTTTGTCAACATTGTCAACAATAAAATCAAGTACATTTTGGCAAAAAAAAAAAAAAACATAAGACATAGGGGCAGTGCCAAAATAAATGAACAGCTGTCTCTGGCTTCTGCTTGCAAAAAGCTACAGCTTACATCTATATCTTTTTAAAATTTAATTAAATAAAGTTTAGCACGGCATATTCTGTGAAGGAGTTTAAAAGATAATTCTTTAACCTTGTTTGTTAAGAGATAGCAATTGGGCAGAAGACAGACGTTTTTTCCAAACAACATCACTCACAAATTGATTCTGCCATAAGTTCACACTTCTTTACAATTAAATAGACGCCAGAGGCTTTAGAAAACTCTTCTATTACTTTAATTGCAATGGGGATTTGGTTTTCATTTTGGAGAAAGAGCTAACTGCGTTATAGTTCTCTATCGATAATAGTCATACCTTTAATCATACTGGCTTTAAAGGGGTCATATGACGTTGCTAAAAACAACATTATTTTGTGTATTTGGTGTAATGCAAAGTGTTTATGCGGTTTAAGGTTCAAAAAACACATTATTTTCCACATAATGTACATTATTGTTGCTCCTCTATGCCTGTAACAGTGAGGCTGAGGCGGCATTAGAATCCATTTGCAGAAGTTTATTAAGAGAAGACTTGAGTGACAGAAACGTTAGGCCAGGCAGAGAGTCAATACCTGTACTCTTACGGCTCTCTGAAGACGTACATGTACGCTGTCCCACACCCTCTCACTACGCCGGATCCAATCGTCCACCGCAGGGACCGATGAGCGTTCGCCAGACCACGGGAACAAAGGGGGTTGATATCCAAGGACACACTGGAAGGGAGTCAAACGAGTGGATGAGTGAGTCAATGAATTTTGTGCGTATTCAGCTCATGGAAGGAATTCAGACCAGCGGTGTTGTTCTCGGCTACAATATGATCGTAGATATCTGCCTATTTCTTGATTTAACCGTTCGACTTGTCCATTTGCCTGAGGGTGGTATCCTGACGTGAGGCTTATGTTGATGTCAAGATGTTTGCAGAATGCTTTCCAAACTTGGGACGTAAACTGGGTTCCTCTATCACTGACGATATCATCTGGTATACCATAAATTCGAAAGACTTGATGAAACAGTGCGTGTGCAGTCTCCATGGCTGTGGGAAGTCCTTTTAGAGGAACCAAACGACAAGATTTGGAGAAACGGTCAATAATAACTTTTTATGACACACAAACCACACTCTGACATCCATACCAACACACCCACACAATTATAGCTGCATTATTTATCCAATTGGCTCTATAATTTGCAGAAGCAGAAAACAGGAATAAAGCGAGTATTTGCTTTGTAGGCCAAACCTGAAAAAATGGCACCATCTGGTAAAAAAAATAGTAAAAAATACAATTTTAAAGCCTTGCCAACAGAATGAAAGCCTATTAACAAAAATTGCATCATTTTACAGTTAAATGTCACTGCGATTAAAAATAGCAATTTTAATGGGTTTCAATGGGGACATTTTTGTCCTTAAGGTCCTGAGAGAAACCATTTTTGTACCTAGTGCAAAACAGATTTATTAAAGGAAATGGAAGTGAAATAGTAAAATTCCAATAAAAATACACATCTGTGCCAAAATTTATGCAGTTGGCAATAACACAGGCAAAATTATCAAAAAAACAAAACTGAAAAGGACAAAAATGTCCAAAGGGTCGCACAAGGGTTAATGGCTTGGTCTGATGAAATATCCCCTCTCCAATTGAGGTATCGTTGACAGCTTTGATCTTGATGGGAGGATTGCATAGTTGGGTAGGAATGTTATATTTTTTGATGAGATCTTTGTTAATGAGGTTCAAAGCTGCTCCAGAATCGATCATCGCTGTTAATGAAATACAAATATCTTCAGTCTTTAGCTTAATAGGGATCTTGAAGGACTTGTTACTTGGAAGTAAAAAGTGTCCAATATTTACCCGAGAGGTTGTTTGGGCCTTGTGTGGGCACCCTTGACTGCGATGACCTGCTTCACCGCAGTAAAAACATAGTTGGAGTTGACGTCGTCTCATCCTTTCCTCCTCAGATAATCTGGAGAGACCTAGTTGCATCGGTTCATCACTTGGTTTGGTGGTTGATGTGGTCATAGGTTGATTGATGGCTGGCAGAACTTGTTGAAAGCCTCTTGTATTTCTTCGTCTCGGGGCTTGTCTCATCAGATTGTCAATTTTTATGGTGAGAGTAACAAAGTCAGAAAACGATACATTCTCCCCTTTACAAGCCAGCTCTGCCTGCAGATCAGTGTTGAGGCTCTGTTGGAACACGGCTTTCAGTGAAACATCATTCCATCCGCTCTTAAACGAGGCATCCAGTGAGGACATAATTACGGATTATAATTACTTATACTGTCTTTTTACGCATTGCGTGCATTGCGTATTTGGTTATGATCACGTTAAAAACAGGATATTTCTAAAAGCACCGGTGAACACATCTTTGGTATTTTATGGGAAGTTGGCTATTATTTTAGGGCTAAAACCTGGTGTGTCTCTAGGATCTGTAAATCAAACTCATGAAGATCATTTTGATGCTGCACCTGTTGTGACGTATGCCCTGCATCAGGCTGACATAAGAGGAGCCTTTTATAGCATGTATATATACACTGACATGATTGAATATCAATCAGTCGGGGATTCGTATGTACCGCTACTGAGAACTGTACATGTAGAGGGGTCGTCTGACATCATCAGTGTTAGATTCGATAAGCCGCATTACGTGCCTGTGAATAAATCTAATATTACAGACATTTGCATTGAGGTTAAAGATGATCAGAACGAACACGTACGTTTCGCTATTCAAAACGTATGGCGCCGGTGTATGTGGCTTGCCGTCGGTCTCGTCATCTGTCATGTTTTCTGTTCCCTGGGTTGCTAATACTCATAAAGTCACTAAACCTACCCGTCAATCTCGATTAATCACCTCTACTACTAGCAAAGCCTTTTCATTAGCTTTTTGTGATGCTAAGATTTTTGTGATCAGTTATTACTTGAAATGGATGGATTGCTCCTTCTAACCAGTGTCTCCATTGCTCGACGGCTGCTTTCATGGATAAGAGTTCTTTGTTCCCAACATCATAGTTTCTTTCAGATGCATTTAACTTTCTTGAGAAGAATGCGCATGGATACAGTTTACCAGGTTGGCCATGACGTTGGGAGAGCACAGCTCCGATTCCACAGTTCGAAGCATCTACCTCCACCACAAATGGAAGATTGGGGTCAGGATGTTTCAGGATGGGGGCTGTTGTAAACCTTTCCTTCAATGTATTGAATGCCTGGCTGGCTTCCTCACTCCACTTCAACTTCGAAGGCTTTCCTTTCAGGAGGGAAGTCAGAGGGGAAGCAATCATACTGTAATTTCTGATGAAGCGTCTATAGAAGTTGGCAAACCCCAGGAACCTTTGAAGCTCTTTTATGGTGGATGGTTGTGGCCATTCTGTGACTGCTTTGACCTTAGATTCATCCATTCTTACTCCTTGGTGACTGATATGATAACCCAGGAATGACGTTTGTCTGACATGGAACTCACATTTTTCTGCCTTGATATACAATTGGTTTGCTAGTAGACGAAAGAGGACGGTCTTGACATGGTTGATATGTTCATCTTCAGACTTTGAGTAAATCAAGATGTCGTCAATGTAGGCTATTACGTACTGGTTCAGAAGGTCCCGGAAAATCTCGTTAATGAATGACTGGAAAACGGCTGGAGCATTGGCAAGCCCATATGGCATAACCTGATATTCATAGTGCCCCCTAGTGGTGAGGAAGGCAGTTTTCCATTCATCACCCTCTTTAATTCTGATCAGGTTATATGCACTCCGTAGGTCAAGTTTGGTGTAAATGGTAGCCTCACGGAGCTGTTCTAGTGCTGAAGGAACCAGTGGAAGGGGGTAGCGGAATTTCACGGTAACATTGTTAAGTCCTCTATAATCAATACAAGGCCTTAATCCTCCATCTTTCTTTTCAACGAAGAAAAAACCTGCTGCAGCTGGAGACGTGGAGGGTTGGATGAATCCTGAGCTAAGGGCCTCTTCAATATATTCTTCCATGACTTGGGTTTCTTTTCTGGACAAAGGGTAGATCTTACCTTTTGGGGGCATTGCATTGGGAAGTAGATCGATGGCACAGTCCCAAGGACGATGGGGTGGTAATTTGTTTGGCCTTGGTTTTACTAAAGACTTCTGCCAGATCGTCATAACAATTGGGAATGTTGACTGTCTTGCTAACTTCTGGGCTTTCTATGCTAGTTGTGAAACACGGTTGGGGAACTTGGGAAAAACAATGATTCTCACAGAAAGTGGACCACTTGGTCAACTCACCCTGATGCCAGGAAATGATGGGGTCATGAATGGATAGCCATGGAAATCCGAGGATCACTTCATGTTTAGGGGAGTCAATGACATACAATGAGATCAATTCTTGATGAAATAAACCAACTTGGAGTGTTAATGGCTTGGTCTGATGAAATATCCCCTCTCCAATTGAGGTATCGTTGACAGCTTTGATCTTGATGGGGGGATTGCATGGTTGGGTAGGAATGTTATATCTTTTGATGAGATCTTTGTTAATGAGGTTCAAAGCTGCTCCAGAATCGATCATCGCTGTTAATGAAATACAAATATCTTCAGTCTTTAGCTTAATAGGGATCTTGAAGGACTTGTTACTTGGAAGTAAAAAGTGTCCAATATTTACCCGAGAGGTTGTTTGGGCCTTGTGTGGGCACCCTTGACTGCGATGGCCTGCTTCACCGCAGTAAAAACATAGTCGGAGTTGACGTCGTCTCATCCTTTCCTCCTCAGATAATCTGGAGAGACCTAGTTGCATCGGTTCATCACTTGGTTTGGTGGTTGATGTTGTCATAGGTTGATTGATGGCTGGCAGAACTTGTTGAAAGCCTCTTGTATTTCTTCGTCTCGGGGCTTGTCTCATCAGATTGTCAATTTTTATGGTGAGAGTAACAAAGTCAGAAAACGATACATTCTCCCCTTTACAAGCCAGCTCTGCCTGCAGATCAGTGTTGAGGCTCTGTTGGAACACGGCTTTCAGTGAAACATCATTCCATCCGCTCTGAGCAGCGAGCGTTCTAAATAAGATGGCATATTCAGCAGCTGTACGGTTACCTTGTGACATATGTAAAATCTGCGTTGATATATCCTTGCCCCCAGCGGGATATTCAAACACTTCTCGCAGTTGTTGGATGAAATAATCAAAAGATCTTCTAAAACGCACATCCGTTTCCCAAACTGCCGCAGCCCAGTCGATCGCCTTGCCAGATAATAACGTCATCATGAAAGCGCATTCTGCCCCACTTTATAGAAACAGACACCGGCATTGTAGGCTAATTTCACAGGAAACAGTCCTCATCCTCCGCAAAATGCGCTGCATACATCTGAATATTTGGGTTGTACTGTTCTGGAACAGTGTTGTAAATACAACTTAACCACTGATTCGTAGTTGTGTCATCTTTTAGAAGGCCAAACAAAGTAGTTTCGCTTTCACAACGAACCACACAGTGTCACACACGGCGGGCTAGAGTGAGGAACGGCCAGCGGGTTAGAGTGAGCGGAGGCCGGCATGAGTGAGCGGCGGCCGGCGGGCTTGAAAACGGCGCGGCCGGCGGGCTTGTGGCAACCCCATCTGACGACCCCGGGCTGGACCGGGCTCATCCACGGTGAAAGCCGATCCGACGATCCACAGCGCGAAGTTGATGTATTTCCTCAGCGACCAGCACGGATCAGCTCCAGGCATGACGAAGCGGATATCGTCCTCTTTTGGAAGGCCAAACAAAGTAGTTTCGCTTTCACAACGAAACACACAGCGCCTTCACGACATGGCGGCGGCGGCAACAACAATACTACAGCGAGAATAAAAGTTACGCCTTCTTTCTTTGCGTGAACATTTGGGCGGCGTTATGCAAATCTTCCCACATCGTGACGTAGACATGTGGGGGCGTGTTAGAACGAGCCGTTTTAGGTAGGCGTGGCTGACTCTTAACTTTTATAAAGAATATCTCTTTGGATTTGAGACTTTAGTCTTTGCAACTTTACAGATCTTCTTTATGCACCAAGAGCTTGTAACACTCCAAAGAGAAAGGAAAAATTGAAATTGCATCATATGACCCCTTTAATATGATTAGCAAGGAGTTGACTTATCAAAAATAAATATGGAGAGACGGGGCAACCCTGTCTAATCCCTCTAGATAAATTAAATCTTGTAGAAGTGCCACCCAACAGTTTAATTGAACTGTTGCTGTTCTTATAAAGGGTTTTAATTGCACTATTGAAGAAATTTCCAAAACCAAATTTGATAAGAGACTCAAAAATAAACTGATGCTCTACAGAGTCAAAGGCCTTACAGAAATCAAGAAAAATAATAAAACCATTAGCTACAATAAATTCAGGGTAACCCATATCTAAAAGTAGTCTTATATTGTTTATAATATGCCTATTCCTCGTGAATCCAGATTGTGTTTCTTCTGTAATTGAATCTAATACAGCTTTGTGTCTTTTAGCAAATATCAGGGCAAATACTTTATAATCATTATTGAGTAAACTAATTGGACACCAATTATCAAGAAAAAGTAGATGCTTTTTTGGGTTGGGAATTAGTGTGATTAATCCTTGAGTCAAAGTTGGAGGAAGGCACTGATTACTCTAATAATGACTTCTTTTTTTTTATTTTTTTTATGAAAGTATGTGCATATTGCATAACTACATTCTAATACATACAATCTTTAAAATAAAAACATCCAAGTTGCTTATTATTGTTAAAAATGTCATAGTAGTCTTGCTTAGGTTAGGTGGGATGTGCACATAATCACATAAAAGATATGTTTAAAATAAAATCCAATAGATAAATACACACAGTCATATGATTTGTGTTGTTACTTTTGATATTTTCCATATTTATTCTAAATGGATTCTTTGTCCAGTCTTACAACAGTACTAAAGAAAATATATTATGTTCTTCAAGTGTCAGACCTTCAGTTACAGTATTGAGTTATTATTTAGAGACTCAATAGCTCATTGTAACTGATTCATCTGATTTTTTTGGAGCAAAACCTTGACATTACATCATTATTTAGTCATCTCTCTGTATATAGTGTTAGATCCAGAGTTGGGAAGTATACTTTGGAAATGTAATAGGTTACAGATTACAAGTTACCCTATTTAAAATGTAATAAGTAGTGTAACTATTTCAATTACTTTATTAAAGTAATGTAACTGATTACGTTTGATTACTTTTTGATTACTTTTCTAAATTTCTAACGAATGTTTTCAACTGTAAATCATTTTGAATCATTTAAAGCAGGCATGGTTAACCTTACAGTAGGACTCAACACTGATTACTGTCAGACTTTCAGAATCCTTCATTCTTGAATTAAGATTATAATAATTTAATTTTAAAGCACAGCCACCACAAAATCAGACTTTAGCACACCACTTTTTACTTTGAGATAGTTCTGAGGTTAAATACAGATTTAAAATCATAAGATATAGTTTAATAGCTATGATACTGTTTTTGAAATCAAATCTTTGCATGGCTATGACAGGAAACACAGGCATCTAACAGTTAATTTAAAAAAGAAAAAACCCATATACATAAACCCAAACAGGAAATAAAACAGTTATTGTATAAAAGGTGTCCTATTATGTGTCCTAAACTCCTGAAATATTGGTGTCTCATATTTTAGAGCAGTCAATGGAATTTATGAAATAAATCAATTAAATCTGTATGTGGATGTGTGTGAAAATATTCAGATGTAACCCCCTTTGTAATCTTTAACATTTTCATAGGTAAACTGTAATTACACATTTCTTTCTCAGTAACTGTAACTAATTACACAGTTACATTTATTTTGTAATTAAATTACGTAACTCTGTTACATGTAACTAGTTACTCCCCAACACTGGTTAGATCACACAGTTTCACTGCTGATTGCTTGTAAACTGCAAACCCAGGATAGAGCGGCTGAGTGAATGTGGTCTGGACTCTGTGGATGAGGCTCATTGTGTCAGAGACGCTGTAGAAGGACAGAGTTCCTGCACTGTGATCCACATACACTCCTATTCTACTGCAGCTGAAGAGTTCAGGGAAATCAGTACAACTGCCATTGTGCCAGAATGAGTAACTAGAAGGAGAACAAGACAGTCTCCAGGATTGATCATTATATCCAAACACACACTCATTTCTCCGTCCCTTCCTGCTTATGTTCTTATATGACACTGATATACCCACACCGAGACTCCCGCTCCACTCAGTCTCCCAGTAGCAGCGTCCACATAAACTCTCTCTACACAACACCTGCAACAAACTATAAAATCGGTTTGGATGATCAGGATACTGCTGGACTCTGTCAGTGAAAGTAACCACTCTGTTCCTCTCAGACAGACAGAGGTTTTTATTCACTGTGTTTGGATCCAGAGTGAACCGACTGGAATCTGATGGAGATAAAACATGCAAAAAAATTAATCAATAAGAAGAACGAGACACTGAAAAATCCCCACCACAAATGCATAGACAAGCAGAGTGTTAACAAACAGTGAAAAAAAAGAAAAAAATCAGAAAGTGAAAATTCACAGTGCTGTTGAACCAAAATATCAGCATTCCCGAAACGCTGCTTGACCAATCAGATTTGAACGGTCTGTCGAAACGATTTGTTGTATAATTTCAGTACTATGCATATTGTATAAATTAATATATAATTTTTAATTATGATATATTAATATCACTTTCATGGATTTCACTTAGTACTATAATTGTGACATTTTTATCAGGTTTGGTTATATGTTTATAATATAAATATTTACTTTTAATGTATCTACAGCGAACCTTTTAGCAATGTACGTGTACATGTTGCTGGTTCGCTGAAAATGTATGAAATCAGAAATGTGTGAAATCAGAAAAACATGTCTGTTGTTACGGTCTCTCTAAGGAAGGCGAAGAAGACGAGAAAGAATAATCCACAAAGAAAGTCTTTAATATTATAATCCACATGAAAATCCAGAGTGAACCGACTGGAATCTGATGGAGATAACACACAAAATCACTGAACTGAATTTAAATGAGTTTGGCATACATGTTTCTGTAAGTGTGAGAGCCTCTTGGGGTATATTGCATTTTATTGTATAAATAAATATATAACTTTATTCCATGGTCTGTCTGAATACTCAATTCTGATTGGCTGGCAGGTATACGTACATTAAAACCATTTAATGCAAAGGTAGTTCCAAGTCAGTTTAATCACCATTCTATATTAATGCGCTGCTTTCATTGACACACACACAGAGAAACATTTAGGAGCACAGAAACTTGTTGTCAACGCTGCCCTTTTACTTTTATTAATAAAATAGCTTAGGTACTGGATCGTTGCATTATATTCCTCAGCAACGAGGAGGTAAAATCGCTGTTTAAAGGATTAGTTCATTTCCAGAATAAAAATTTCCTGATAATTTACTCATATGAACCAAAGATCCGCACTCAAACTTTTTTTAAATCTGGTACATTTTATTTTACCTTCATCACCACATGGGAAACACAAACGTTTTGACTCTATGCCTTCTTCAGTGTGATAATTTACTCACCCCCATGTTATTTTAGTCAAAAAGAAATTACGTTTTTTGAGGAAAACCTTCCAGGATTATTCTTCATATAATGGACTCCAATGGGGATCAACGGGCTGAAGGTCCAAATTGCAGTTTCAGTGCAGCTTCAAAGGGTTCTACACGATCCCAGCCGAGGAATAAGGCTCTTATCTAGCGAAACAATCTGTCATTTTCTAAAAAAAAAAAAAAAATCATATACTTTTTAACCACAAATGCTCGTCTTGCACTTGCTCGACTTCACGCATTACGTAATCACGTTGGAAAGGTCACACGTGACGTAGGTGGAAGTATCGACCCAGTGTTTACAAAGCAAACGTGCAAAGAAAATAAAATGTCCTTTACAAAAAAAGGTAAAACAACGATGTCGAACGATTTTGAATTTGGAGGACAAAATGAGATGTGGGCGAGAGTTTTTCGCCCTACCCGACCTTTTTGAACCGGAGTACACAGACGAAGATGTAATCGCGCACGACCTTTCCAACGTGATTACTTAATGCGTGAATTTGTGGACGCGCAACGCAGAGCTAGTGCAAGACATGGGCTGTATCCAAAATGGCCACTACCTCTTTAATACTGCCTCTCAACAATGGTCAGGCCGTTGGCACCCTCTGCAGTCATTTGTTATAATGCGTAATTATAATGTGTAATGTTCTATTGTTTATAATACATTATGTATTTTAACAGTTTTGTTCAATAAAACCATATGATTACTTGCTTTTGATACTTTATTTAAACTAATTATTATTGCCTCATTGCTATTATATATGTATTTTAAGTA